ATGCAGGGTGGTGAGGGAAGAGATAAATTGCTCCGAACCCAGGCCACTATATTTTTCAAATAGTAAAAAAAAAAAAAAATCAAATAATTAAAAAAAGAAGACAGCTAGTGCATTGCCCTTGCAATCTCAGGTCTTTTATGGAAAGGTAAAACTGATGGGTAAGGACTGCTTTCTCCAGAGAATTGAATGAGAGAGTTGGGCACCAAATGAATCTAACTGCAATTTGGAAACTTCCTGCGTGGAAGTCCCTATCTGCTTCCTTTCCCAAAAGCCTCTGTATGGCAGCAGCTCCTGTTCCAGGCCTTATTGGAAACTATTCCATTCACTGGGAGGGAGCTAACATATCCAAACACTTTCCACAATACATGTTTATTATTGGTGATTTCTTACCAACATTTTCTCATTCATTTCAAAGTTTCAACTTGGCTTGCATCATACTAGAACATGGAAACAAATCAGTTCCTCCTCATTATAAAGGACCAGAGGCAGGTATGGGGCCATTGTCTGGTAAATTCCTTAGTGTACAAGTGTAAAAGGCAGTGCCAGGGGGAAAAAGGGGCACTACATGGAGGGGAAGGGGAAATTACAGGTCTTTTGGCCACGTGAGCTGCAGTACTTGATCTGAAGTTGCAGTTGCCCCGCTCTGTTTCATTGGTGGCATCAGGAATGGAGCTCTTGGGGTTGATGGGATTCAACTGGATCTGAAAGCCACAGAAGCCTGCAGAGATGTCTCAAGTCCTCTTAGGACTGAGAGAAAGCTACACACTTTTCCCTCTCAATGGCCTTTAGTGAGGTAACCCCAAGGTTCTGGCAGGCTTCTTCCTCGGGGAGGTTCTCTGGCAGTCAAGTTAGGGAAGAGGAGGCCATTTCAACTCCTTCCAGCCTAAGAAAGAGGCTCATATTCCCATTCCCTGAAAAGTCCCAGAAGGATATTGCAGCCGATACCAAAGCCATAGATCTTGGCCTACCAGGACAAGGATTGAATGAGGCTTCAAAATAAGTCTGACGAAGTCACAAGCTACATTATTATGAGGTTCTTGAACTTTCTATCTGGAAGTCAACAGAGGTGAGTTCACGGCCCATTAAAGAATGATCTGATTCTTGAAGCTGCGGCTGAGTTCCTTGTGGGGAAGCACAATTGAGTTCAGGATGACTACTTCAGCAGGAATGGTCACATTGCAGCCTGTTTGGGGTGGGGTCGGGGGTGAATCAAAAAAGAGATCAGCTCAGAAAACAGGATAAGGAGGAGGTGTAATCCCACAAGGGACTCCTACTTAGAATGTCCCAAGGAAGGTCCCAATTGTTTATTGGGGAAGGGGAAAACTGGATACAACGCTTACCCAGAATAGTGATAGATGGAGTGAGGCGGCCATCTCGAAAGAGTGTCTCGCTGTCAATCTTTGCATAGGGATCATTTGGATTGGGGTCACTGGGGGTACCCTCTACACGAGCCCAGCGTCCAATTGTGCTGTCCCAGCCTACAATGCTGTTGAGCACACAGGTATGGTCCTATGGAAAAGAGAGTGGGGCATTCCATGGGGAGTCAGACCCACAGGGCCCAAGGCTGCCAAAGCTTCAGCGTTCCGGCAAGACAGGAGCACCACAGCCACCCCCAATTTCTTTCCTTTTTTAAAGGACTGCAAATGGTTGAAGCCTCCCAGGAAGGGCTACATCACATGAGATTTCAGTGATCTTGTAGAAGAAAGAATATTAGAATTTGCTACCTTACCAACATTTGAGACATTTTAAAATTCTTTTTTAATATAATCTGGAGGGACCAGGGATGATTTCATCAAGTTTCAGACTTCATCCACAACCCAAGACCATATAAAGGCAACCAGAACAGCAAGCCTTGGTTATTTAAGGAACAGCACAGGGGTCAACTCTCCAACAATTCGTTTAAAAGGAAACAGAGGCAAAATGGACAGAAGCCACAGGGGAAGGAGGAGGAGGAAGACCCGGTTCATTCACACATCTGCAATCATCATGCAGCTGGGAAGCAATTCAGCCTTCATCAATGCCCGCCCCCATGCGAAAGAGATTCCAGCCTCAAAAAGTGTCAGAAGCAGACATTTTAAGGGCTTCAGTCCACTCCCTAAGATCATGCATCTGATGCCGAGGGCTGTAGCCCACAGGACCTGGGCCATAATACATTGGTTAGCTTTGAAGAGGACCAACAAAACTCTCTTTGTTCATTCAGTACTCTCAATGAACATTTACAGCATAGTAGCACCACCTGCTGGCCACAAGAAAAAGATGAAAAGCAAATGCTGTATATGTTGACCGGTTAGGAAAGCCTGTTAGAGACAGTACTAACCCCAATGTAGCATCCCCATGTAATACAAGGCAAGGGAATATCACTGTGATTACTGTATTAATATCCCATCTTTTCTCTGAATTTTCAGGGCACTGTAGGTTGTGAGTCTCTCTTCATTTTATTCTAGAGCAACAACCCTAGGTTGAGCCAAGAAATAGGAGCTGACTAAAGTCACCCAGCAGGTTCCACAGCTGAATGAGACTTGAATCAGGGCCTCAATGATCCCAGGCCATACTTTCAATTCTACACTGTATTGATTCTATATATAGACCTGACCAACTGTGGTTGAATTTTACCAATTCCAGCAGACATTGCCTATGGCTGGGAATGACAAAAGTTGCATCCAACACAGGTAGTCCTTGGTTACCAATATTAATTGGGACCAGGAACTCCATCACTAAGTGATGTAGTCGTAAGACGTGACATCACGTGACCGCACTGACCTATGACAGCAGTTCCGGCAGAACCAGTTGCTGTCATTAAGCAAATCCTGCACGATCTCATCCCACGGTCAGTCACCATTTGTGGCGTCCTGCCCGCTTCCCCATTGACTTTGCTTGTCAGAAGCCAGCAATGAAGATTGCAAATTGCAATCATGTGACTGTGGGATGCTGCGACATCATAATTGCGAGCCAGTTGCCAAACACCTGGATCACAATCATGTGACCGTGGGAATGCTGCAACGGCAGCAACTACGAGGACCAGTTGTAAGTACCCCTCGTTCAGTGCCATCATAACTTTGAACAGTCACTGAACAAATGGACATTAAATGAGGACTACCTGTACTAACTGGCATGTAATAGTCTGGGCAAAGCTGTGATGGGGCTTTTTGCTTTTGATCAAGCATCTGGTGCAATCTCTCTTCCATACTGCTGTGCTCAGGAGGCATTTTTGTTGGGGTGGTGGCCACCCTCAACGCCTTCAGTTGGAAGCATCAAGGCAGGGCTCAAAGGAGAATGCGCTAGCACTTGTAGCACCATTTCACTCAACCCCTGTCCTATAAGAAGTGGAAGATGATGGAATATCTTTCCCCCATTTCTTAAACAGGACACGTGCAGAGGAAATGAAAAGTGGGGAAATGAAATTGCATTGCTGCAGAGAAGACAAGAGCCTTGTTTAATAATAGAGATGTCTTTCTTTTGTATTATCTGTTTCATAAGTGATCCAGTATCTGAAGAGCCCATAGAAGAAGGCTCAGCTTCTAAGATGAGAAAACACACTAATAAAATTGTTTTTAAGTATCAATGGGACAAGCATTCTATAATTAACAAAGACATGGCTATAGATTAAACAAGAATTAGACTGAGGAGTACAGACTTAATTTTCCACGGATGAAATGCCGTTATTTGAATTGCAGGAAGTTTATGAGATCCCCAGCAACAAAGATATAAAACGAATGCATATTTATGATACTAAAAATGCAAGTCATGCTAATACTAGATTACGGCCCCCTGGAACTTCAGAAAACACCTACCTGGAGAGACGCTCCATGCAGAATGATGGATTCTCGCACTCGCACTCCTGCACCAATGGTTACCCCTTTCCCGATGGAGACATTGGGACCCAGCTGCAGGGAAAAGCCAGGGGAGGGGGACCTGTGTCAGTGAACTGGCAGGCAAGTGCCCCTCTTTAGCCCCCTGTTCTCCTTCGCCCTCTGGAGCAAAGACATGGGCCAAATGGAACAGGCTCTAAAATCCAGCCCCACCCCACATAATACAGCAAGGGGTGGTGAGGGGGATTCTTCTTAAGAAACCTCTACAAGTGTCAGCTGAGGCTCTTTTTCCCCTTTAAACCCTCTATCAGTGCCCTCTATTTTAAAAATCAGGAATTTTTAAAATCCTACCTATTATTGGGAGGGGCAAAAGGGAGGGTAAGGGAAAGACCATCTCTTCCTCCCTGTCAGCCCTTTGAGATAGTCCAGACAGGAACCCAAAATCACAAGTACTAATACTACTTTTATTGTAGGGCTACAATAATAGCATCTTGCAAGTCTGAAGCCCTTCTCCCCTCCCTCTCCTTTACTTTCCAGAGAACTAGGGAGGGTCCTTCTGAGGCACTTCCTCTGCCCCCATTCCTTCTGTGGGCTGAGATATCGTTTGCCTGAACTTCTCTAGGCTCCTCCTCCTCCTCCTCCTGTCTCCCAAGGTCATTCTCACGGCCCATTACAGCCCCCCCCAAAATCCCCGCAAAGCATCCTCCCCTTTGTACTGCAATTAAGCTTGGGGGGGGAACTGTTTATGAGCATGCAAACACACACGTGTAATAACTGTGCACAAGGGAGATGGCAGGCCTATCCTATACCCCTGGCTCTGGCCTTGCTCATTATTGGCATGAAGCCCACCAAGATACTGCAGCCCTGGGATCAAAAGGCTTTCCCCATTCTGCTGTGGGAAGGGGCAGACACTGACCAGCCTGCAGACTTACCACAGCAGTGGCATCCACAGAGGCTGTTGGATGAATATAGACATTCCCTGTATGGAAAAGAAGCAACAATTACTTCAGCTCTCCTCTGTCCTCCATGAGTCATTTCCATTCTTCTGAAGACTTTGCTAGAGGAGGTCCACTTCTTTACCATATGGGCTTCCAGCTCTAGTGCTGAGTATCTCATGATCCCCAGACACATTCAACTCAACATGAATGCCTTTCCCCACACAGGGGTCAGCTGCTAAAATTACTACCTCGGTGCCGAAACTTGTGACGAAGGAAGGAGGGTTCTCTCCAGAATTCTGGAGTTTCTGGAGCCAAGCGTATAGGGAAAACAAAACAATTCCCAACCTGGGCAAAAATGCTTTCAAAAACTTCTCATCAAAAATAATCCAAACAACAACATATTATGAATAAATAAACCTCTGTCTGACCCCTGGGGGCTGAAGGAGATACACCATACATTTTGGAACCCCTTGCTGCCATTTTGGATCCCGAGGACAGATATGACAGCCTAGGAACTGATCTGCTATTAAGATCTCTCCAGTAAGACATCTATAGGACTGCTGGAGCTGGGTGAGGAGACACGTTACCCGTAGGGACGCAAAGAGTGTGCCTCATTCCTGCCAACAGAATGGACTGGTGTTTCTGCCTCACAGTGTGGGGAGGAAGGGCAGATACCTCGGATGCTGGGCCCACCAGGTTGATTCTGGGCAAGTCTCTCCGGGTGACACTGGCTGTAGCAGCTCAGGTAGAGACGATTGGCATAGATGGCAGAGCTGGCAAAGAGAACATGGGGGTATTATGTTTGGCCCCAACCCTCAAGCACAGCACTTATCCCATATCGCCAACCTCTTGGAGACAAAACAAGAAATCAAACGGCTCTCTCATCAGGAGAAACACACACAATTAGTAGAAGATGACATTCTACCTTGCACAGTACCCACATTTAAACCAAAATATTCAAATTCTCTTTCTTTTATGCTGCCATCTATCTGACAAAAGCCATAGGTCTAAGCCTGATGGGTGCTAAACTACAAAACAACCACAACTTTGGTTATAGTGATGTGCATCTTAATACATTTGGATGCGCTTCCTTTTTTAGACATGACTTGGAGAAACAGGAAGAAGAAGCCGGACAGAGATTTACAGGGGCTGCAGCCTGTGAAACCAAAGGCAAGGAGAGGAAATGAGCAGCAAGGCTCACAGTCTCCCATCTGCTCTGACTTGCCTCTTTGCTGCTTCCAACAAGGTTAACAGTTCCTCTTGCCATTGCAACATATATTTTTCAGGGCACATCCTGCAACCGCTGCCTGTCCATCCCATGGGTCACTGAGTGGGAGTCTGCAACCGCTGCCTGGCTAAGCTTGGTCCTGGAGCCACTGGGTGTCAGACAGAGCCGCATCCCTTTCTCTTACCCAGCAGATTTGATTTGGCTCCAGAACCCTTCTGTTTTGTAGGCAAAGAGGCGTCCCTGCCCGGCAAGGGCTGTGAAGATGTCTTGCTCCAACCTGATGGCTTCAGCCCGCTGCCAACCGTTTGTGTTCTCCTCTCTGTGGGAATGAGACGAAGACAAGTTGAGGGCAGCATACTGCTGTCTAGAAAGAGGGCACAACCCCAACCAGAAAAAGAAAGCTCTCAAGTTACAGGGAGCGTGAATAGGGGAGCAGCACGGCTTCCTCCAGCAACTGGGAAACTGAAAAGCTAGATCTCCATCTAAGTGCCTAAACTCTACAGAGCAGAAGAGCACCAGTGACTCTTGAAAAAGGCACATGCAGGATGAAGGGAGAGAAGGACACTTACCCAAGGCATGAACCCCTGCATGAGGGCAAAGGATGACAGGAGGAGGAGATGGAGATGGAGAAAAGAGAGAGAGATGGTAGATGAGTGACCTGCCACTGCCCAGAGCATGAAGGGCACAAAAACACTGCCGGGAAAGACACTCACAAGAGCAGCTCCCGCTGGTTACGATGGAAGACTTCCCCAATGTGATGGAAGATGGCCGGGGTAAATAAGTAGATACCACAGTTGATGAGCTCGCTCACAAAAGTGCTGGGCTTCTCCACATAGTGTAAGACCTAGAGAAGAAAAGGGGACATAGGTGGGAGTGACAAGAGCCTTGCCATGGGGCACACGGTGCTGAAGAAGATTCCTGAGGGGAAACCTGGGATCTGGGATGCAGAAGGCAGGACTCACAGAAGGGCCTGTTCCCTAGTGGGGCCTGCCTTCTTCCCAGGCCCCCCTCCCGCCTGCCTTCATGCCTTCATACCTCGTGTGTGCTGGCATTTGCCACGATGCAGCCATAGTTCAGAGACTGCTTCCTATTGGCCTGCAGAAAACGAGATTGGCATGGACGCATTGAGGGGACAGACACGCTGAAGCTGCCAGGAGGCTTCAAAAGGAGATCTAAAGAAGGTCCTAGGCTCTGCCTGATGCCCTAGGACTTCTCTGTCTTCCAACCACCTCCTCATGACTGACTCAGCTTGGGAAGGTGGGACTGTCTCCTACCGTGGTGCCCAGCATGAGGAAGCTGTCGGAACTGCCACGCTGACGATGGAAGGCAAGCATCTCATCGAGGGGGAATTCGGAGCAGACATCAGCATTGAGCACGAAGAAGGCTGCAGGGTTACCTGAAAGGATCTGGTCACGGAAGTGGTAGATACCCCCACCTGTGCCAAGCGCTGCATATTCCTGCAGATACCTACAGAAATTAGATATTCACCATCAGATGCCTGTTGGAGCCCCCTGCTTCCAAATAGGGGAAGCTTATAGACTGATTACATTTCATTATAGGATGAACTTTCAAGGACTACAACTATTTCATCGAACATGAGGCATCGTCCTCAGTCCCTAGGGATAATTACACATGGATACATTCAGAGGAATGTGAAAAAGTGGAATTAACCGGTAAAACAGAATTCAGCTCCTGGGAGTGACAGGAGATTTGGCCTAGTATATCTGGAAGGTCCTAAGAGAGGAAAAGTTGAATTAGAGCTTAGATGTTTGCAAAAAATTGTGCAAGATGCTAATGATGTTGCTGTGTTGGCCAACGCAACTGGGCATTTTTTTAAAAGGCCAGGCTATGCAGAACCAGTCCCTGAGCGACAGATCCCAGGGCTGGATCCCCTCCTACCTTTTCCTTCACGATATCCACTGGTCACCCACCTAATAGGGATCTTGAATTCTTGCTGGGCAGAGACCAGGAAGTGGCTGAGTGCCTCATTAGGTTGATAGAAGCCAATCAGGAGAATCTCCTTCATGTTGGGCACCTGTTAGAAATGGCAGGAAAAGCATCAGGCTGAGCGGACTTCACTTTCTTGCTTGCTTCATTATCTGACTACAATTAAGGTAAGGTGACAAACTGAAATGTGCTGCCTCCCCTTTCCAAACTTAATCTGAATAGCCCCCTTACCTTAGTGCATGCCTCAATGTGATGCTGCACCATGGGAACCCCTGCCACGGGGAACAAGGGCTTGGGCACTTCAAAGGACAAGGGTCGGAAGCGGGTCCCTGAAAGAAGAAGACAATTCCTGAATCAGGAGCCAACTGTCCTCAGAATTTGCCCCTCCTGTTTCTGGTAATGTTCTGCTAGGAGCAGAGAACAGAAAGTAAGGCACATCGTGCTAAATTCCCAAACAGCAGGCAGCCAGAGTTAGCTCCAATCAGTGTTTCTTAACCTTGGCAACTTTAAGACCTGTGGACTTCAGCTCCCAGAATTCCCCAGCCAGCCATGC